TACACCTAGGATGCATCGGGGGTGAGTAAAACGCAGCCTAATTTTTATTTTTGGGTGAACTAACCCTTTAACCTTTTGTTGTTTTTTTAATATTTTTTCTAAGTTCAATTTATTAAATGTTTGTATTTATTGCCTGTGAGACTGATATTGCTATAAATATAAATACAACCAACCAACCAACCAACATCATGTACAATAGTAGCCTGAAACAATGACTAAATATATATTTGATTATTAAATATAATATTTGATTATTGCTTAAAATTAACATGAAGAGTACAGTCTAGGTGACGTCATTTTAGTGCACATTTTGATTTGTGAAAATAACAAAACATTTCTTGTGTTAAAATAGCGTGCATTTATGAATTGTGTGCTGTAAGATAAGTCAATAAGGTCAGTGTTGACTTCATGTTGACTTTAAACATAAAAGGCAAAAGGAGAGAAAAGCAGACAGAGAGACAGAGGCTGACCGCTGCTATTCACTACAGTTCAGCATCATTAAAAGCTCATTCACTGCTACTGAGGTCAGTGTTAATGAATGTCTTTTCACAGAACGAGGGTTACCATCTTATGTTAGCACAAAATGACATCTTCTGCAATGCTTCATGGGATGAATAGTTAATGTATTCCCCTATAATTTGTATTTTACCCTATAATTTACATCTTTTACCTTTGCATTTGTTTCTAATATGCATTTTTATTTTCTAACACAATTTTGTAATGTGACTGATCTCAGAGCTGAAACACTCAGATGCAGACTTGAATGCCTGACCAAGGCACGGCAAGCATGCAGTCCTGATGTACTCGACCTTCTGATCATGATGTCCACTTTGTTTGACAGAAAGCCATTTTAAATCATTCAGGATATGACGTTACAACCAAGCCACCATTGATTACTTTTGACTCTTTCCCTTAAATAACACAAATTCAACCTTTCAAAGAAGGTGGTGCCCCAAGTAATATTAAAAATGATCTTCTATTGCAAATTCATAATTTCAGGGAAAATGGATTGTATGTATACAAATGCTACAGTTAAAACTTGTGATTTTAACCTTATAAAAGTTATAAGTTAACTTTATTAAATTAAGTTGCTTTACCGTACAGTTTTGTAATGTGACTGATCTCAGAGCTGGATGTTTGAGCAGAAACTCTCTAACCAAGTGTGCAGATGCAGACTTGAATACTTGACCAAGCCATTGCAAGCATGCAGTCCTGTTGTACTTAACATTCTGATCACGATGTCCACTTTGTTTGACAAAAAGCCATTTTAAATATATATATATATGAATATATATATATATATATATATATATATATATATATATATATATAAAATATATTTTAAAAGACAATATACTGTATGTAATGCTTTTAGAGGTTTTTTTTTTTTTACAATAAAGTTCTAGTAGTCAGTAAAGTCAGTGTTGTGTTCATATCATTGATATACTATTATAGTTTTTGTTAATATTTGAATTATTATTTTTATATGTCCTGGTTTTATTTGAAAGTTTCTATAAAGTTTTTGTTTTTCATTTAGTTTCTAGCTGAAATAAAATGTTTAATTTTTATATTTTATTGTTATTTGCTTAACCTTAATAAATTAAGCTGCCTTACCATATATAAAGAAAATATATATTATATATTCCAAGACAATATATGTAATGTTTTTAGAGTTCAGTAGTCAGTGTTGCTTTAGTATCATTGACATACTATTATAATATATAATTTTTATAATTTTGTTTATATCTGAATTAGAATTCTTTATATGTTCTGGCTTTATTTTAATTTTAAATTGTTAGTTTTTTTTTTTTTGGTTTTTGTCATTATTATTTTTTTTAATGTCTAGTTTTTATGCGTTTTTTTATTTTAGTTTAGTTTCTAGCTGAAATAGAATGTTTAATTTTTATATTTTATTGTAATTTGCTTAACCTTATTAAATTAAGCTGCCTTACCATATATAAAGTACATTATATCTTTATATTTTCTGTAAAGCTGCTTTGCAACCATTTGCATCGTGAAAAGCGCTATACAAATAAACTCGAATTGAATTGAATATCTTACAAGACAATACATGTAATGTTTTTTTATTTTATTTTACAGTAAAATTCTAGCTCAGTAGTCAGTAAAGTCAGTGTTATTTTAGTATCATTAATATACTATTATAGTTTCAGTCTATATTTTAATTAGATTTTTTTTTAATATATTTTCTGTTTATTTTCATTTTAAACTTTCTGTAATTTTGTGTATTTTATCATTTTTATTTGCTTTTTAATATGTCTAGTTTTTATAAAGTTTTTTTTTATTTAGTTGAAATAAAATAAGTTTATTTGTCATAAAACTTTACTTTACTTAATGTTTATTTTAGTTAATAATAATAACCCTGGTACTTGTGTTATTATGATGTATGGAATTTCTCTTGTTTAGCTAGTGTTTGCATTCACATTTTATTTATTATTATTTCTAGATACTTCCAGAAACCCAGACTGTTGAAAGAGTGCACTTTATAGGCACATCAGCTTTTTGACGGACCATTTTCTTTCAGGCTGATCTGATCTGAGGTCAGAGGTGTTTTGTGTGCACTGTGTGTGTGTGAGGGAAACCAACCTGCCAGGCTTCTAACTGCTGAGACAGGTTGAGTTTCTGCTGTATCGCATCCAACAGCTGACTGTTCAAAGACATGATGTCTATCTTACACTTCGCCAGCTCCATCTCCACGGCTTTCTTCCTGTAACAGGGAAAAGAAGAGTTACTAGAACGGCATCTGAGGTTAATGTTACAGGCTGCAGAAACTCATATGTGTAAAAACAAAAATAATTTTTCTGAGATTAGACATGTTTATTGAACACAAGACTTCTAAAGGATTATTCTCTCTCGCTCTGTCTAATGTAGCTGTACAAAACTGCAGAAAATGACCCTTTTGAGATGTTCTCACAAGGAAAATGAGTTCATAAAGATACTGAATAATGTCTTTATTCCCATCTAAAAATGAAAACAGTTGTATTTTAGTGGTTAGTGGTGTTAGTAGTTTTTAGTTGCATTGCTATATGCAGTTGCTCACTGGTAAAATAGTCAATCTGATCAAGCCACAACTTGAGGAATTATTCATATCTGTAGCTGTGCAGAATGAGCCTTGTGAAAAACAAGTGTGCTTAATTGTATTGAATGTGCACTTGTAATTAAAAAAGTTAAAAACTTTACTTCCAGATAATACAACATTAATGAAATAAAAGGCTACTTAAGTGCACTTATAAAAAGGTACACTTTGAAGACTATATATTTCTTAACAAACGTAAGTACACTTTCAACAAGTTCATTTGGAATATAATATAACATTCAAACTTAAGTTTGACTTTAAAGTGCATTTATATTTTTACGTTTTAAAGTTGTGCTTTAAAGAAGTATGCTTATTTGCACACAAAATACTTACTAACATACTAAATCACATGTAAAATACTTGATTACAATTTTAACTGTAGTGTGTTATTCAGTATTACATTTAAAGTTAAAACTGCAAGTTAATCATTACAAATGTGTAAATACAAATATTTAAATACATGACACAATATTCAACAGAAAAAAACGGTTCAATCTTTAAAAAAAAAACTTTAAAAGAATATACTTAAAGTCCCCATGAAATCAAAATGAAAGTTTTTTGGGTGTTAGTATCAATATGTTAGTCTTTGGGTTATCTATAAGGCAGTGTGCTCCAAAACAGTGATAAAATTCGCATTTAGAAGATATAAGCATTCAAAGCTTGCAGTTCGTCACTTCCGCCAAAACGGCTCAACGATTTTTTTGACGTCACATCGTACTTCAGCTTCTCATCAAACTTTCTGTCCAATCAAATGCTCTCTAGAATCCGAAGCCCCGCCCCCTACACTATAAAATAGACGCTGAAGCCGCGGCTGAAATCGGTCACTTGTGCACAGAATTAGTATTTTCTGTACAGTGAATGGCACGTAGTGCACTATATAGGGGACAGGGAACGATTCAAACAGTGTAAATATGCTTTCCATTGAGGAAAAG